CAAAAACCCTTTTTTTTTTTTAACTTCTATATCCAAAACAAAAAAATGGTTTTATATGCACTTTGAATTTTGACTTCTTTAGGGCTGGTTCACACCAGACCACGCATTCCCCTGCAGTGTGAACATGGGGCACCAGTTCGCATGGTACTGACTTTGTAATCTGCGTTTGGGGTGCCAATGTACAGGCGCCTGCAGCAGATTGCAAAGGCAGTTCACGTTGAACACAGTGTAGCAAACACCCACAGAACATGCCTTTGCTGCACCTCATTCTGGTGTGTACCGGCCCTTAAAGTATGTAAAATGACAGTTTTTTGTTCTGGCGTTTTACGTAAATGTATAAAGACAGTGGGGCTGATTTACAAAAACTGGAGAGTGCAAAATCTGGTGCAGCTGTGCACAGTAGCCAATCATCTTCTAACTTCAGCTTGTTCAGTTAATCTTTGAAAAAAAACTGGAAGCTAATTGGTTTCTGTGCAGATCTGCACCAGATTTTGCACTCTTCAGTTTTAGTAAATTAACTCCATTTTGTAAAGATTTAAAAAAAAATTCTGAAGTAATACTGCAAGCAATGTCTTTAGCACTTCTTTTACCACAGAAGAAACCTCTATTTCATAAGAAAAAAAATCACATTTAACTTACTGTACTTGTCCCATTAATGACTTTAACACTTGTACAAATTTTGGAATGTATTAGGGAGCTTAGCAAGTTGCTATTAAAGCCCAACTTCAGCCCAATAAAAAATACACTAGCTCAGTGTTTTCTAAAATAAAAAAGTGGATCTTGCTGGAATATTTTCATTTTTCCCTGGTAGACTCAGTGGTTTGTGACCCAGCTTGAGTCCTCCTTTAGGTTGCGTGTCACCCAGTGTCGTGCAACCTATTTGCTATGATCCCCTAGGAAAATGATGTGGAGACTGGCACCAAATAATGGCGTAGCACTGATCTCTTCAGCATTCAGAACCCGCCCACCTCCAGAGTTAGAAAAGGATAAAAAGGCCAGTAGTAGGCTACTGGATGGAAGACCAATAGGATAAAGGTATGTTTAAAAATGTGTATATATATATATATATATTACATACTATATCTATCTATCCACACTATATTGCTGAAAGTATTGGAACACCCTTCCAAATCATTGGTTTCAGGTGTTCCAATCACCTTCAGGGCCACTAGTGTATAAACTCAAAAACCTAGGCATGGAGACTGCTTCTACAAACATTTGTGAAAGAATGGGTCGCTTTCAGGAGTTCAGTAAAATCCAGGGTGGTACCGTGATAGGTTGCCACCTGTGCAGTCCATCAGTGAAATTTCCTTCCTAATAAATATTCCATGGTCAACTGTTAGTGGTATCATAACAAAGTGGATGCAACTGAACTGGGAACAACTGCAACTCAGCCACAAAGTGGTAGACCATGTTAAATGACAGAGCGGGGTCAGCGCATGCTGAAGCGCACAGTGTGCAGAAGTTGCCAACTGTCTGCAGAGTCAGTAGCTAAAGACCTTCAAATTTTGTGTGGCCTTCAGATTAGTGTAGAGATTGTGTAGAGAGTTTCATAGAATGTGTTTCCATGGCCGAGCAGCTGCATCCAAGCCCTACATCACCAAGTTCAATGCAAAGCGTCGAATGCAGTGGTGTAAAGCACGCTACCACTGGACTCTAGAGCAGTGGAGACGTGTTCTCTGGAGTGACGAATCACACTTCTCTGTCTGGCAATCCAAATGACATGTCTGGGTTTGGTGGTTGCCAGGAGAAACTGCACTTGCCTGACTGCATTGTGTCAAGTGTAATGTTTGGTGGAGGGGGTATAATAGTGTGTGGTTGTTCTTCAAGAGTTGGGCTTGGCCGCTTAGTTTCAGTGAAGGGAAATATTAAGGCTTTAAGCATACCAAAACATTTTGGACAATTTCTTGCTCCCAACTTTGTGGGAACAGTTTGGGGATGGCCAACATAAATGAGCACAAGTGGACAAAGCAAAGTCCATAAAGACATGGATGAGCGAGTTTGGGGTGGAAGAACTTGACTGGCCTGCACAGAGTCCTGAACTCAACCCAATAGAACATCTTTGGGATGAACTACAACAGAGATGTGAGCCAGGCATTCTCATCCAACATCAGTGCTTGACCTCACAAATGCGCTTCTGGAAGAATGGTCAAACATTCCCATAGACACCCTCCTAAACCTTGTGGACAGCCTTCCCAGAAGAGTAGAAGATGTTATAGCTACAAAGGGTGGGCCAACTTAGTTTTAATCCTACGGACTAAGACTGGGATGCCATTAAAGTTCATGTGCGTGTAAAGGCAGGCCGACCAATACTTTTGGCAATATAGTGTGTCTATCTATCTATCTATCTATCTATCTATCTATCTATCTATCTATCTATCTATCTATCTATCTATCTATCCATCTGTCTATCTATCTAACTGTATAGCATTTAGGCTGAAAGTTAATAAATATTAAACATGTATAAAATATAAAATGCTCATATATATATATCCTCTTAGTGAATGAAATAAGCATTGCCTGCATTCAATAACAACTTTATAATAGTGATTTCAGTGTATATAATCTACATGCACACAAGCTATAAATCAAAGTACAAAAGTGCAATGGGTACAGTACAACCTGTAGTTAGGAAGTTAATATATATCAATCTAATATATAATCTAGTATGCAATCTATTTATATAATCTAAAATGAAGGCATAGGTCAGCACAAGTATAGGGAAAATCAAGTTAAAGGGAATTACAATGGCCTGGCTCAGTATATATTTGATGTTTTTAGTTGTAAAGTTTATACACTTCTGAACTGATGTTTAATATTTATTTATTTATATTTATATAAAACATTTGTTTTACTTATAACATTTATTAAGGGGTTCAGCCATAACAAAGGATTCCCAGAGCAAACTTTAGCTCTCCAAACAAAGAAGACAGCAGAGATGGTTTGCCTCAGACTTTCTTTAGCTACAGCCCTGTCTGAATGTAGTGGAGAAAGAAGTATGTGTTTGTGTGTAAGGCATTCCGGAAGTAGCTAATATGTAAAGACCTAAGGACTCTTTTTAGAAAACAGCAAAACTGACTTTTACCAAACAATTTCTGTTGGAAAATTAGTCACTAATTTAAAACACCTACACCTGAAAGAATATCCTGCAGAGAATGTCAGATTCACTGCTTTATAAATATCCCCTTAAGGCTGGCCATATATTATGCAATTTCAAATCACTCGATTCTCCCATCAACAGAGTCAATGTTGATGGGGGAATCCCTCCCACTGCGCTCATATTCTGAAAAAGGTAAGTTTCAGACTACAATGACCACTGCCGGCTATAGCTATCATCAGTGACCATGTGAATAAAACCCTGACAGATTTGTGGTACTGAAGTCGATCAATAAGTTGACATCAGTACAATCAGCCTGCCCAAAGATGGATCGAAATTCGTCCAATTCCTGCTCTGGAGCTGCAATTAATGGAAAGTGTTGAAAGGTGCAGATAACTTTTACTTTGTCTATATTTTTGTATGTCTGAACACTTAGAGGTAAATTCGATGCTGATGTGGTGGAAGTGAAGGTCTTGCAGATCAAAGTTGGCAGGAAAACCTAGCAATCTTAATTAAGAGGGAAGAGGAGAGCACAACAACCTGGTGTAATATAAATGGGCTTTGAACACTGTAGAAGAGTTCTGCATATGGAAAGCCCACTGACCATGACCACCAGTGGGACTTGCAACTGAAAATATCAGAAGGGTGGGATCAGCTGAAGAGCAAGGACCTGCATAAAGTTGTCCAGCTGCTGAGGGGGTGATGAAAAGCTCCTTCTAGGTGCGCAAGCCATTTATATGATGATGCATTTTGAAGCATACTCCTTTGTCAAGCTTGAGCACCCTGAGTTTCCATTAACTTAAAAGGAGGCATATACCAAGGATCTCCACTCAAGATATATGGCCCCATTAAAGTCAGTCGGTACAGGCCTGACAAGTGCTAAAAAGAATTTAGTAAAACAGGTAGTATAAGACCAGAGGAGGCCACAGCACCACTACAGAGGAAAGTAGCCAGCTGGGGGGGGGGGGGGGGGGGGGGGGGGGGGGGGGGGGGGGGGGGGTCTAGTGCAGTTTGGCCTAGGAAGACTGTGAGCAAAGATGGGTTAGCAATAGATTAACGCTTCGGCACTCAAGTCAAGCCCCCGGTGGTGTTAGGACTGATAGTTGATGTGGGAGGCCCTGAACAAGTTGTTAGTCCTGCCCTGCTAATAGGAAGATGCAGAACAGTAGGTGTAAAATGAATGTGAGTTTATTTATTGTTGAAGCAAATTAAATAATTAAGGTTGTGTTGGGATAGCGGCTATTGATCCCAGCACTGTTATAAAACTCACCCTCAGTTGCACAATGCAGCTTAGCGAACATGCTGTGAACATGCCCTAAAGAAAAAAAAATTCGAGAAAAAAAAAAAAAAACATAGTTCCTTTTAACCACTTGCCTACTGGGCACTTATACCCCCTTCTTTACCAGGCCAATTTTCAGCTTTCAGCACTGTCGCACTTTGATTGACAATTGCGCGGTCATGCATGATTGTACCTATATGAAATTTTTATAATTTTTGTCTCACAAATAGAGCTTTCTTTTGGTGGTATTTACTCATCGCTGGGTGTTTTACTTTTTGCGCTATAAACAAAAAAAGTGCAAAAAATTTGAAAAAAAATGTTTTATTCTAAAATTTTGCAAACAGGTAATTTTTCTCTTTCACTGATGTGCGTTGATGAGGCAGCACTGATAGGCAGCACTGATGGGCACTGATAGGCGGCACTGATAGGCAGCACTAATGAGGTGGCACGGATAGGCGGAACTGATAGGTGGCACTGATAGACGACACTTATGATGGGTACTGATAGACAGCACTGATAGGTGGAACTGACTGGCATCACTGTTGGGCACTGACTGGCGGCACTGCTAGGTATTGACTGGCGGCACTGTTAGGCATTGACTGGCGCAACTGCTGGGCACTGACTGGTGGCACTGACTGGCAGCACTGTTGGGCACTGGTGAGTGGCACTGGTGGGCACAGGTGGGTGGCACTGCTGGGCACAGGTAGGTGGCACTTCTGGATGGCACTGCTGGGCACAGGTGTGTGGCACTGCTGGGTGGCACAGGTGGTTGCAATGCTGGGCACAGGTGGCTGCACTGCTGGGCACAGGTGGCTGCACTGCTGGGCACAGGTGGGCGGAACTGGTGGGTGGCACTGCTGGGTACTGTTCATCAGGGCACTGATCATCAGTGCCCTGATGATCGGTGCCGAACCCTGCTCTAACAACTACCGGTTCTCGGCAGTACTTTTCTCACGATCTGACAGCGTGAGGAAAGTGCAGCCGAGAACCGGCAATTGCATTTCCCTGTGATCAGCGTGTTATTTGGACACGGCTGATCACGTGGTAAAAGGCTGATGTGATTGGCCTTTTACCACATCACATGATCAGCTGTGTCCGTAGGACACAATGATCACGGAGATCGCTGGGCGTGCACCCTCGGGGACATGCAGGAGAGCGCGTTCTGGGAGAACGTCATATGACGCCCTCCAAGAACTGGCCAGCCGCAGTGTAGCCGTCATTTGGCTATCTGCAGTCGGCAACTGAGAAATGTCCCAGAAATCACATTGGATGCTGTGGGATGACATTTGCAATCACTGCATGAGTGACATGCAGAGATTTATCAGTTGTAACCCTGTGAAACTGTTGCAGCAGTGCTAATTTGCATCCATAAAATCCAAACTTGTTCAAATATTGTGCTAAAAATGTATGCAAACATCCGATTTTTTTCATGTGTGCCTCCTAGTGTAGCATCAAAATGGAAAAAAATCTTTCCCAAATTAAAAGACCGCCTAACAGCAAATACACGCCATGGTTTTGAAGTGGTTTTACTCGGGCTATGGTTGCAGCTGGATGCCATAACACTGGTATTAAAATTTTCCCGAGCCACTGCTCTTTCTGCTAAAAGTGATCCAGCGGTGGGAGGGGTCACAACCCGCCCCCCTGCCACTTTCTGGTGATTCTCGGGTTTACCTGTCTCATCGGGAAACCCATGAACTGATCCGGCAGTTGCAGCTCCTAGCCATAGAGATGAACAGAGGAAAGATGGCTTCTGTGCAGCTCTATGCCCTAGGAGTCTGGGAGTGACTTCATGACGTCACTCTCCGTTTATGGCCAATGTACACAATGCCATTTTTTTGGTGGGGGGGAAGCAGCAGATCAATGTTTTTCTCTTAATCTGAAACTTTCCATTGCATTAAAGAGATATAGGGTCTTATAGATGTTTACATTTCTTATGCTAGCAATAAAAGTAATTCAAAAAAATGAAAAGTACAGTGTAAAAATAAAAAAGTAATAGAATAAATAATAACCGCAGCTCCATAGTCTCAGACGTCTTTCTTTTTGACCCTTGCGCTAGAGCTAGAAACACGTTGGATGGAGTTAAGAGTGCTGGCGTCATGTCACCACATGATCCCGGATGCGTTGGCCATCTTTGTGAGTTTAATGAATGCTTGCTTTTTACTTGTAACTTGTGCTAGTTAAAAGTCTACAATAAAACACTACACTATTCACATTTCTTTTGGTTTCTGCTGGCGAGCAATTGATCCACACATCCACGAATATCCATCTGTTGGCTCTGGACAGTAATGGTCTATTAGATATCATTGTCCTCAGTATCCCTAACAGCTTATCTGTGTGACTTATATTGGTTCACTTTATTCACGTTTGTTTTTTGAGAGCTGCACTAGATGCATAAGCTAGCAAAAAAATACAGAATTTTACATGTAGGAGAGAAATGTCAGAATAGGCCTGCTCCTTGCAAACTTTCACATTGAACTTGACCAGAGTCTATCTGTTATTTAAAACTGAATTCTAGGTATGTCAATTTGTATATAGTTACACTGGTCCAGCTTGGACCACTATAATTTTGCCAATGTGCATCCATGGTCTGAGGACAGTGCCCTGAGAAATTGTACAAATGATGCGTCCAATCGCAACACAGATCCAGCACTCTGATTGGTGAGCAAAAGTCAGCTACAACAGGCAAAACCCTGCAAAAATATACCAACTTCCCAGCCTCAGATAACATATATATCATAATTTCCTCAGACAATGTTACATAGATAGTCTGGCTGAAAAAAAGAACAAACATTCATCTAGTTCAACCATAAAAAGAAAAGTGATAATTCTATACCCACAGTTGATACAGGGAAGGCGAAACAACCCAGCAAAGCATGATCCAATTTGCTCCTGCTGGGGAAACAATACCTTCCTGATCCCCCAAGAGGCAATCGGATATTCCCTGGATCAACTTTACCTATAAATCTTAGTATCCAGTTATATTCTGTGTATCTAGGAAAGAATCCAGGACTTTTTTAAAGCAATCCACTGAGCTGGCCAGAACCAACTCTTGAGGGAGTCTATGTACTAACCACCAACCTCAAACAACATGTGGACCCCAGCCTCAGACAATATATAGATCAAAAAACACACAGCGCCCAGGACCAATCTACTAACAAACAATTATAAGTGAAATGCTGCTGTGCATAGGTATATAAACCAAAACAAATTTTCCAGTATAAACCAGCGCAAAACACAAATGTTAAAATAATAATAAGTGAATATAAAATTATTATTTTATAAATAATCTTTAAAATCCAGTGATAAAGGTAAGTGACCACTTACCTTTATCATTGGATTTTATATTCACTTATTATCAGGCAATATATAGACCGCCCTTCCTGATACAAACATATAGACTGTCCAGCCTTACACTATATATGGACTATCAAGTTTCACAAAACAACCATCCAGTCTCAGACAACATAAAAACTTTCCAGCTTCATATCACATAATATATTGATTGTTCAGCCTCTAAAAATATACAAAAATAAAGGAGTTACCGCTCAGGTGAACAATCCACATCAAACCAAGACAGGTGCAGACTCTGGCTTGCCACCACACGTAATGGAGCGAGGAAAAAGGGTTAGCCACACAGGATTGATGATATGTAACAGATAATTTATTAATCCATCAGATACAAAGAGTAGCAGGACATGTACAAAGCTGCTAACGCGTTACACATGATCACACACTTATTCATTTGTATCCAATGGATTAATAAATTATCTGTTACATTTCATCAATCCTCCGGTGTTTGGCTAACCCTTCTTCCTCATCCTAAACATATACAGAGACTGATAAACTATTGATGAGGAGGATTGTATTAAGCCAAGGGGATGATGGTGCAAACAGTCAAGGTGATGACTTCAATGTGCAATAAACTATATGGGCTATATACAATATAATAAACTGTATAACAGGGGCGGACTGACAACTCATGGGGCCCCCGGCAATGGGGGATCATGGGACCCTTGTGTCCTTGCCCAAACTCAAAAAAGCCTATGAAAAAGGTACCAGGGGCATCTCATGGGGCCCCCTACTGACCCGGGCCCTCGGGCAGTGCCTGAGTTTCCAAATGGTCAGTCCGCCCCTGCTGTATAATAGCTTATGTGAAATTCAATGTACCACAATCAGATGTGCCATGGAACACTTTGCACTCCTCTACAACTGCCAGTCATAGTTTAGGTACCCCATTCTATTAATAAAAGGGAAAATATTCACTAAGTTAAGTGGATATTCACTTTAATAAAGCGCAGCTTCAACTTCTTTGAAGCCGATTTTCACACACAATTAAAAACCTATGTAAAATACATGTGCCACAAGCAGCTGTGCAGCATGCCACACTTTGCATTCCTCTACAACCACCCATCATAGTTAAGTGTTCTTGCATAGCAATACCACTTACTGTTATCTCACATATATTCTTATTATTATAGCCAAATTTACCACCCTAACTCCTCCCACAGTTTTTACACTACATAGACAGTAATATACCGAAATGTGCGGATTGTTCCCAATTGGCGTGCTATTACTTTGTGGAACATTTCTCCAAATGGTTCACGAAATATTGGCGTTTTTGTGGTCAAATTGGTCCCATAGGAATGAATGGCGGAATGTTCAAAACTAGAGTGGGAGCTGACAAAAGCTAGAGTGTGAGCTGAAAAAATCAGGACATGATTTCTAAACTGCCATCACTCCCTCATTTTCAAGCCCACCTATACAAATCTTATATCAAAACGTTCAGCTATCCCTGCTGCCACTAAAAATGTCCACTGCTAAGCCATAGTCCTGATAGTTTTCACAATATGACCATTTGTTTGCAACTCACGCCACCCAGTGTCATTTATTGAAACTCCACTCTAACCACCTCAAATTTGAAGGGCAATTTCTAAACTGCGACTGTGCCTTCATTTTTAATATTTCAGAGACATACTATGCATCAAAATGTAGGTCTGGGTCTTGTGATTCTCACAATATAAAGGTGGAGGCAAGAACACTTCACACAATTTCCCAAGAAATTGTAGCTTTTCTAGTTTATTGTTTCAATTGTATTGGTACCATATTCACTAAACTAAGTGAACATTCACTTTATTAAAGCTCAACTTCAGCTTCTTTAAAGTCCACATCTGGAAAAATTTAAACCAACCCAATTAACTTCCAACCCACTCAAAATTTTAAAGACATACAAAAATGTTTTTACTTTCCTAACTCTGTCAGGTCAGATGTGACCTTCCTTGTCACCTTCCTGGAGTGACAGAGAGACTGGTGACCCACCACTGGAATTCTGGACCACCACCAACCTGTCTTGTTGCTGCTCCTTGTTGTGATGTTGTAATGCTGCCACTGAATTGTTCAGGATCCCGTGAAGACCCTGTTAATTGGCCAAATGGGAAGTGCCCATGTCTGTAGGCAGCAACGTGAGCACCCCAAGAAGGACATTTCCACTTTGCAGTGAAAAAGGAAGACTGAGGATCTGGAGCATCTTGTGACCACATATTTAAGTAAGTTTTTATTTTATGCTTGCAGCATGTCTGTGGTCAAAACCTAAAATCATATGTTCATTGCCACATTGTATTTCAATTATTTTTAGCCTACTCCTATTAATCTGAACAATCTTGAAGTTTGTAATCTTACTTGTTAAGATCCCCCAAATTCTGTAATGTGTATTCTGAGTAGGCACTACTGTGTGTCACACATTTCTCAGAGCCTGCCTACAAAGATGCTGAGAGGAGGAGTTTCCGTAGGTGGAGTCAGTACAGAAATCACTGCAGCAAGGTACAATTGGACATGTAGTCTTTAGAAATTGAAAGTAAACAGCAGAGGAGAAGCTGCAAAGTATGCAGAGAATCCAGGAAGTTGTGGAAAGAGATGGCCAGCAGACAGGCAGAACTCACAACATTAACGCAGAGTTTTCAAGTAAGATTATACTGGATTGTGAGAAAGCTATTGCTTGTATTGCTGTTACAATGCTGATGGTAATAAATGAAAGTGTATGCTGTGACCATAGAACTCATTTCTTTTA